GTGTGGCTTTGGGTATATATTTGTGTCTGCAAAGTAGAAACTCTCTCTGCTTCATGATCACAATATGAACTTCTTCCCTCTGCCACACTCTCCTGCCTTAATGTTCAGCCTTACCTCGAGCCCCAAGGAGTGGAGCCAGCCTTCTATGGACTAAGACCTCTAAAACTGTGAACCCTCAAATAAACTTCTCCTCTACAGTTGTGCTGGTGGGGTCATGTAGTTACAGCAGCGAAAAAACTGGCTAAAACAGTACTGTCAGGTAGGAGTTCAGGGACACCATGATGGCAGAGACAGGGTATAAGAAAGTAGCCAGTGGAGAACAAGACAAGAAGACCAGTCATATTCATGTTTACAATATGTCCCATTACTGTAACAACTCCTGCCACTGAGAATTTATCACCATGATAACTCCTGTCACACAGATTGCATTTTTTTTGAAGAGAGAGAGAGAATTTTTAATATTTAGTTTTTTAGTTTTCAGTGGACACAACATCTTTTTTATTTATTTTATTATTTTAAATTTATTTTTTGGCAGACACAACATCTTTATGTGGTGCTGAGGATCAAACCCAGTGCCCCGCACTTGCCAGGCGAGTGCGCTACCGCTTGAGCCACATCCCCAGCCTAAGATTGCATATTTTTAAGTGACCAATGGGGGTAAAGTGGGAAATATTCTAATTAGGTTTTCTAAGGCAACCAATGGGAGAAAAATTGGAAAATATTCAAATCAGTAGCACAAGTTAACCAATGGAGCAAATGGGATAAAGTCTTCAATTTGTTCTGTATACAGGAGATAATGCCTACAGCTCAGCATACAAGACCCTAATTTCTAAATGTTAGGACCTGGATCCTCTCATCCCCTCCCTCCCTCCCACCCTCTCCCCACTGTGCTCTATCTAACAGAGTTCTACCTTCACCTTGAATAAATCTGTACTTTGCCTGTTACTTCCGTGTGTCTTGCTCAATTCTTTGTTTAGGACATCAAAGACCTGGACTTCAGTTGGACATCCCAATGGTAACAGTCTTGCATAAAACATACTTGATTTTTTTTAAGTTAAACTTACAACCACTCTGCTAACTTCCCTTAAAAATGAGTTTAGAGATCCTTTCAAATTCATTCCTATTCATATTGTAGATTGCATTCAGATTCCTTGAGGGAGGAGCTTTTTCTGTTTCCCAACATTGAAAAAGTGGTCTTTCCTCTGGCAAAGTGGAAAAAAGTATAAAACGCACTAGATTTGTTTTATGAGAGAATGTCTCTCCTTGAGGGTTACCATACAGAGGTGCTGGGTTCATTGTCTCTATTCAGCAAATAATTGAACAGGACTCAGAGATAGCAAGCAAGAAGTAAGTTTATTGCAAAAGCAACAGAGATAAAAAGATAGACTTCTCCAAAGAGAAGGAGCCCCAGAGCCAGGAATCCAGTGGGGGAGTTTTGGCCTTTTTTTTTGTGGTCTCTGTAATTTCTTCCTTACTTATCTCCTCCCCTGTCCCCACACTTCTCATTATTATTGATTGGTGCCTCTTTTGTCCATGGCGCTGTTTTAGTTTTTCTATTGGATCCCCTGATTAGAAGCACAAGTATGGAAGTGGAAGGGTCTGATTGGGCCTCCCACTTGTGTCCACCAGCACTTTCATGAAGCAGGAAGTTGAACTCATCAGAAGATCCTCTCCATGCTCCTTTGTTCTGGCCCTGCCCCTGACTTCCGCACTCACCATCTTGCCCTGGCTGCCTAAGCCCTTCTGTATCTCCCTCATGAGCATGTTTGGTGATGAGAAAGCAACATTCATGCCTCAAAATCTAGTACCCTGGAGATGAAAAGACCACACTGCATTGGTTTCTTTTGGAGTAATTATATTAAGAATTATAATCGAAAACATAAAATTATATTGTTCATCTGCAGTCTCACTATGTGTAACTTCAAGATTGACTTGAATATCAATTTGATTTTTTAATAACCCACAACAATATTGACTCAAAGCACACTTCTGATTAAAGAAGTTTAATATTTTCCCACTGTTCATGAGAAGCACCACACACATTAATCTTCAGTGCATCCATTCTTTTCACATTTCTTGAAATAATTTCTTGTTGGGGTACTAAAGAAATGTGATGTTTGACATGTTTGATTAAGAGATACATTTTCCTTCAAATAAGATAGAGAGAGTAAAATTTCTTAAGAATATCCTCACTCTATTTATGGGTCCCTATCCCTTCAGTCATTCTTGAAATCCTGGAATGATCAGCAAGACATTTAACAACCTAATAATTACTATTTTATGGGCATTGGTCAATCAGAACAGATGCCAGCTGTAAACAATTGGATTATTTGCTGGCATATGCAGCCCCAAGGGAACTGAACAGGCATTACAAACTCCTCCTCAGGTATGGAAGCCATCTGCTTCAGTGCACCCCATCTTTTATGGGGAAAAGACCATCTACAATTTTCTCATGCCAAGATAAGTTCAAACTGTCCTCCTGCTAGGCATTAATTAATATTCATTTCTGTTCTCAACCGATACAATCTAACTTTCATCTTCTTTTCCACAAATCTTATTAATTCAGAGGCTTTTTATTACCTGCATGTCAAAAATGTTAGAAGAGAGGAAGTGTGAAGAACTCAAAGGCCTATTTTATGTGCCTAATTTAGCTTTAATTCCAAAGAGGCTTAAAGTAGGATAAATACCTTTTGATAATCTAGTGCTAAAATTAAGATGTAAGCTTCATTGCTAATGGGGACTTTTGAGCAGCACAACACTTTTCAAAAAACAGGAAGGGCGAATTGTTGGATTTAAGGAATTTTTTATTTAGAAACAGGTTATCTTTCTATAAAAATAACTAAGATAGTTCAGAATATCTCCACTATTGTGTGAAATGTTCTAAGCCTTCCAAATTTAGAAGATTCATTTTGTGCACTCTGTAAGATTAAACAAACTTTAAACATTGTAAACTCTGAGATTATCAGCCAACTCTTTCTGTAATACATGCATATGATGCAAGATGAAGCACCAGGTGCTGGTATAGAAGCCACTGCAGGTTATCCAGAAGATCTAGCTGGGATTGCGAAGGAGTAGCTTCAATAGCACATTTTCAGTGTAGATAAAACAGCTGCCTTATTTGGAAAAAGATGGATTTTCAAAGCTAGACAGAGGTCAATGTCTAGCTTCAAAGCTTCAAAGGACAGGCCTGTCTTGTAGGGACTAGTGTAGTTAGCTGATGACTGAAAGTCGAAGCCAGGGCTCATCTTCACTCTAAAAATCCTAGGGCTTTTAAGAATCATACTAAATTGACTCTGCTGTGCTCTAAAAATGGAGCAAGAAGGCCTGAGGGACAGTGTATTTTTACAGCACAGCTTTCTGAATATTTTAAGCCTCATGTTGATACCTATCACTTAGATAATATAAGGTCCCTTGCAAAGTACTTTAAACATTGACAATGTGTTTGGTCACCCAAAAATATTGATGAAGATGTACAGTGAGATTCTTTTTTTTTTTTCATGCCTGCTAACATCCATTTTGCAGCCTGTGGATAAGGAATAATTTGGACATTTAAGTATTTTTTTTTTCTATTTTGTGATACTGGAGATTGAGCCCAGGGCCTTGCACATGCTAGGCAAATACTCTACCACTGAGCTTTATCTCCAGCCTGTTTTTTAAAATTCTGAGACAAGGTCTTTCTAAGTTTCCCAGGATGGTCTTGAACTTGTGATCCCCCTGCCTTGGCCTCCTAAGTAGGTAGGATTTCAGAAGTACACTCAAGCCTTATTATTTAAGAATTATGTTCTGTAAGACTACAGTTGCTATAAATAATGATTCCTCTGATAGATCTGGACAAAGTAAATTTGAAATCTTCTGGAAAGAACTCATAATTCTAGATGCCATTAATAATATCTTTGATTCAAGGGAGAAGGTATAAGTATTAATGTTAATAGGAATTTGAGAGAAGTTGATTCTAACTCTCACAGATGGTTTTGAGGTATTTAAGACTTTGCTGGAGGAAGAAACTGAAGATGTGGTGGAAATAGCAAGAAAATTAAAAGTGAAGCCTGAAAATGTGACTGAATTGCAATCTCATGATAAAACTTTAGCAGATGAAGAGGTGCTTTTTGTAGATAAGCAAAGAAACTGGTTTCTTGAGATAGAATCTGGTATTGGTAAAGATGCCCTCAACATAGTTGAAATGCCAGTAAAAGATTGTGACTATTACATGATATTACATGAACTTGGTTGATACAGCATCAGCAGAGTTTCAGAGGATTAAATCCCAATTTTGACTCTGGGTAAAAATGCCATCAAACAACATTTTATAAAAGAGTCAATCTACACAGCAAACTTCATTATTGTCTTATTTAGGAAGTTACCACGGCCATCTCAGCCTTCAGTATATACCTCCCTAAGCTGTCAGCTGCCATCAACATCAAGGCAACACTCTGCAATAGCAAAAAAGACTAACTTGTTGAAGGCTCAGAATACTGTTACGATTTTTAGCAAGAAAATATTTTAAAATTCAAAAAACACATTTTTTTAGATATAATGCTATTGCACACCTAATAAGCTATAATATAGTGTAAATATGATTTTTATGTGCACTGGAAAATTAAAGCACTCATGTGATTTGCTTTATTGTGATATTTCCTTTATTGTGGTGATCTAGACTCAAATCTGCAATGCCTTCAAGGTATGTCCATATATATTTCTGCATATATGTCATTCATATTTTTCAACAGACTTATTCTCATTTATTGCATGTTTTTGATGCTATTATAAATTTAATTTGAAATTTCTAATTTCTAATTATTCTCAGCTAGTATGCAGAAGTGCAAATTGGATTTTGTATATGGATCTCATATACTAAAACTTTGTAAACTGGATGTACTTTTGTATAGATTACACTGAATTTTCTACATGAATGACCATGTCATCAAATAGAGTTTTAATTTTTCCTTTCCAATATGGACACCTTTTACTTCATGTTTCTTGTCTGACTGTACCGTCTTTAATATCTGGTACAATCTTGAACAGAAGTGCTGAGACTGGTCATCCTTGTCTTGTTTCTGATCTTGCAGGGAAACCATTCACTCTTTCCCCATTACTGGTCAGCTTTTTGATGCTATAATAATACCTGAGACCAGTTAACTTTATAAAGTAAAGAGGACTATTTAGCTCTGGACCAGGGCGGATCCGGGTTTAGGGTGGATCGGGGTTTGGGATGGGGGTTTAGGGCACTCCTTGGGTTTAGGGCAGTTCCAGGCTTAAGGTGTATCCTGCTGGGAATAGGGCTTATCCTGCTGCCTCCAGGCGCCCGCTCCTTGAGTTCCCGTTGAGTTCTCGAGGGATTCAGAGAGTATGTTGGGATGCAGAGCCCAGTGGAGGTGTGGATTTTCCCCAGAACGTGTTTGTAGAGTTCCCGGTGTGAGTTTGGGAATAAAGAATTGCTGTTTGAATCTACAAGGCTGTGAGTGGCTCGTGATTTTGTGCCCAGCCAGACTGCGGCATAGCTCAAAGTTTTTGATGCTGAAAGTCCTAACCACATGGAACAGGTTCTGTCAAGTTCCCCCTTTTGACCACGTAACCTTGGGGTGAATGGCAAGGGCAGGAGAACATGTTGGAGGAAGGGATTATATCTGGAAACAGATGTCAGAGAGTGACACAAGGGTCTTAATCAGGCTTTGATAACCATTTCCTCTTGTGAGAACTGAATGTGATATTGGTTCTGAGGTACAAAAGATTGCCAAAGAAATCCAAAATCAAAAAAGGGGTAGCCTGAGAGGTATCAATACTAACCTGTGTTATCTACATTTCTCTTGGAAAGATAAAGAAGCCACTAATTAATATAGAGATGTTGGGGTTTGATGAATATATATAACATCTGCATGGAAATCAAAATGGGGGTAGGAGGAAGGGGTAGCTATTAGAATAAAAATAAAAAATGATTCATATAGACACCTGTAGAGTTGGCCATGGAATGGTTAATGGGTTGGGTCAACTCATAGAAGGCTTGGTATGTTCCAAAAATACACCCCAAAAAGCCCAGGATGCTGATCATGATGTCCTTTGCAATGGTGGCACAGCTTATGTCCTCAGAGTAAAAGGTGATGATCTCCAGGAGGGGTGGGATGATGAGGGCCAGGGCACTGCTGCACACAGAGCCCACTAGGGAGATGACCAGGTCCAAGTGGGGGATGAGGATGGCTGAGACACCTGCAGCAAGAAGAAAAATTTAGAATCACTAAATGTTCCTGCCATAAGCTCAAAACCAAACCATTGCTTTGGAGCCCAAGAGCTTCACAGATGAATGAGAAGCTGTTTGGAGAGGTGGGCAGGAGCCCACTGTGGTTTACACACAGGTCAGGCACCACAACTCCTGACTCCCTCTCTTATCTTTACTGCTGACACACATGCCCCTTTTCTATTTTATCTATTTGATTTTTCATACATAATCTTTATTGGAGATTTACTCTACCACTTAGCTATTATAACCTCCTTCATTATAGAGATGGGGAGATCCAAAGCTCTAAAAGGAACAGGGCTTGCTTAAGGTCACACAGAGCTAAGATGAGAATCCACGGGATGCCTCACCTGAAGTCCTTTATAGAGGGGAAAAAACTCAAATCATTAAAATCCAAGATAAAAAACAAATATCACCATAGATACTATTGAAATCCAGAGGGTTTTCAGGGACTATTTTAAAAATTTATACTGCAACAAACTAGAAAATCTTGGGTATGGACAAATTCCTAGAGATATCTGACTTATCCAAGTTGAACCAGGAAGATATAGAAAATTTAAATAGATCAACATCAAGTAATAAACTTGAAGCAGCCATCAAAAGCCTTCAAACAAATAAAATCCCAGTACTGGATGGATTCTACCAGAGTTCAACCAGAACTTTAAAAAACTAATACCAACCTTCCTCAAGTTATTTCAAGAAACAGAAAAGGACAGAACACTGCCAAACTCATTCTATGGAGCCACTATCACCCTGATACCAAAACAATACAAAGACACATCCAGAAATAAAACTTCAGACCAATATCCTTGATGAACATAGATGCAAAAATTCTCCATAAAATATTGGCAAGCTGTACACAAAAGCATATTAAAAAGTTAGTGCACCATAATCAAGTGGGTTTCATTCCAGGAATGCAAAGTTCATTCAAATATGCAAATAAATAAATGTAATTCACCACTTAAACAAAATTAAGGACAGGAATCACATGAGTATGTCAATAGATGCAGAAAAAGCATTCGACAAAATACAGCAGGCATTCACGTTTAAAACACTGAAAATATAGCAGGCATTCACGTTTAAAAGGAACTTACTTTGACATTGTAAAGGCTATATAGGACAAACCCAAGGCCAACATTATTCTGAGTGGAGAAAAACTAAAAGAATTTCCTCTAACATCAGTAATTGACAAGAATGCCCATTTTTACCACCCCTATCCAACATAATCCTTGAAGCTCCAGCCAGAGCAATTAGGTGAGAGGGGAAAATTAAAGGGATATGAATAGGAAAGGAAGAGCTCAAATTACCTCTGCTTGCCAGTGATATAATCCCATATTTAGAGTACCCCAAAAAAACTCTACCCGAAGACTTAGAGAGCTAGATCATAAATGAATTCAGAAAAGTAGAAGGATACAAAATCAATACCCATATAACAATAATTTTCCTATTGTAGTGGCACCCCCTTTCTCCACAAAACAGTCCTAACTGGGCTTCTCTAGAAATCTTTACCATGGCTAATTTTGGGACTGTCAGCAAAAGAGTCTTTGCAAAAGAGTTCAATGTAGATAATTCCCATTTTCATGTTGCCCTATCTTACTTGGCCATGGCCGGGAAGAAATCAGCACTCCAGATTCTGGACACCCAGTTACTAGTTTTTCACAAATGTATCCAGTATAGTAGTTTGTAGAAATGTGCAAACAAGTCCTCTGGCCTTGAGCTGGGCTTCACAGAGATGTCTACATTTTTAAGATAAGTTACCTATTGGGCTCCATGGTAACAGCTGGCAGGGGGAGGAAAGAAAGGGGAGAAGAAGCTCTCCCCTTCTCAGGTGCTGTCCTTGAAGGGTTAACTTGCCCAGAACAGTGAAAGAAAAAGCTGCTTTTATGTGAACTTCTAATCCCCTCCTTACATGCTGGGTATAAAACCCTGAAACTACCTGAATTTGGGGTTCAGGGGATTGATTGATTACAGCAAAAGCTGTGCCCTCTGAACCTGGCTGCAGCCAAATAACACTGTTTCCTGCTATCTTCAGTGCCTTGCCTCGTCTGTCCCTACAACACTATAATCCAATGATGAATCTGCTGAGGAAGAAAATAGGAAAACTATCTCATTCACAATACCCTGAAATAAAACACAACAAAAAAACAACAAACAACAACAACTCGGGAATCAATCTAACAAAAAAAGGACCTCCACAATGAAATGTTAGAATATTAAAGAACAAAATTGAAGACCTTAGAAGCTGGAAAGACCATCCATGTTCTTGGATAGACAGAATTAATATTGCCAAAATGACCACACCACCAAAAGCAAAATACAGATTAAATGCAATTCCCATCAAAATTCCAATGACATTCTTTACAGAAATAGAAAAAGCAGTCATGAAATTCATTTGGAAAAATAAGAGACCCAGAACAGCCAAAGCAATCCTTAGTGAGAAAAGCAAAGCAGAAAGCATTATAAATACTGAACATCAAATTATACTACAGAGCTATAGTCCTCTTCAACAAAATGACGCTGGGAAAACTGGAAATCCAATGTAGTAAAAAGAAAATTAACCCCTATCTCTCACCCTGCACAAAACTCAACTCACAATGGACCAAAGACCTAGGAATTAGACCAGAAACCCTGTACCTACTGGGAGAAAATGCAGGCCCAAATCCAACATGTCGGCTTAGGAACTGACTTCCTTAACAAGATTCCTAAAGGGCCAGAAACAAAATTAAAAGTCAATAAATATGGTATCAAATTAAAACCTTCTTCACAGCGAAGGAAACAAGAGTGTGAAGAGAGAGCCCACAGAATGGAAGAAAAATCTTTGCTACCTGCCCCTCAGTAGGATATTAATAACCAGGATTCACAAAGAACTCAAAAAATAATAACACCAAAAAAATCCCCAAATAATTCAGTCAATAAATGGGCAAAGGAACTAAATGAACACTAGTCAAAAGAAGACATAAGAATGGTCAATAATTAGAGAACTCTAGCAATTAGAGAAATCAAATTAAAACTACACTGAGATTTCATCTCATTCCAATCAGAATGGCACTTAACAAAAATTCAGCAACAAGTACCAGGATGCAGAACCAATAAAAAACAAACAAACAAACAAACAAACACCACAATGAGATATCATCTCACATTTGTTAGGGTGGCCATTGTTGAAAAAACAACAGATAACCAGTGTTGGTGTGGAGGTGGAGAAAAGGGAATTTCTATGTACTGTTGCAAATTAGAATAGTCACTAGGGAACTTAGTACCAAGTTTCTTTAAAAGAATTTAAAATGTATCATAATTATATGAATATAAAAGTATAAATTTTTATAAATATAAACATATAATTATATAACCCCACAATGTCAATTCTTGGCATATATATGAGTAATTGAAATCAATATGTCAAAGGAATATCTGAACTATCATGTTCATTGCAATGTTTATCACAATAACCATGCCATGGAATAAAGAAAATATTGCATATATACACAACAAAATACTATTCAACCTTAAAAATAAAAAAGAAAATCCTGTCATTTGTAACAACATGGATGAACCTGGGAAACAGTATGTGAAATGAAATAAGCCCAGCACAGAAAGACACATCCCTATTCTGATTTATAGATGGAATCTAGCAAATTAAGCTCATACAAGGACAGAGTGAGATGGTAGAGGGTAGGGGTATGAGAACTGGGGAGGTATTGACCAAAAGACACAGGACAAATTGCAGTTAGAAAGGAGGATCCAGTTCAAAAGATCTGTTTATGACGTGGTGACTGTAGCTAATAACAATGTATTGTATACTTGAAAATTGACAATATAGTACTGTTTAAATATTTTCACTAAAATAATGATAAATATTTGAGCTAGTACGTATGTTAATTACCTTAGTTCAGTTATACCACAGTGTATGCATCTATCAAAATATGTTGGATACCATAAACACACATAGTTTTTTATCTATCAATTTAAAAAATAAAAATCTACAAACAACAACAACAACAAAAATAAAGTTCTTTCCACTTTACTATGCTGCCTACTTGGCACACAGTAGGTGCTCATAAGGGTTTGACTCTTATATAAACACTGAAACAAATTGTACCATCTACATCATGCAACTTCTGTATAGAATAAAGGATGGATTAAAAAAGAAAGATGGTTCTATTGTATACAATTCTCAACCACTTATTTTCCCATTCATAAAAGAATTCTGGTAATTAAGCAGAACATAAAACATGAAGACAGCATTAGCTGCCCATTCTCCATCTCTCTTCTTCTATAAACATTCTTAAATCTCCATCTCATATACATACAATAAATGCATACCATGGATTTGCCAACAGAGTCCAATTTTGATAATATTTGAATGAGGGAATATGCAACTTATATGATTTAATTTCATATGCCCATATAATTTATCTATGAACAAATTAGAGAAAAATTGTTTTGGAAAGCATCTAAGCTTGCTGTATATTTCTTTTTCCTGGTGCTGGGGATGGAACCCAGAGCTTTGCATGTGCTAGGCAAGCACTCTACCATTGATCTGAACTTCTAGACTCAGCTTGCTGGACCTTTAAGAAAACCATCACCTCTTTCTGAAATTGCTCCAACATATTGAGCATAAGAGGGACTCAGGGTCTCAGAGTTGGAAGCCCATCATCCCTTTATAGTGTGCTCCCTGTCCATAGTTTTCCTTCATCAGATGCATGATAAGCTCATTACCAGTGGAGGTACAGAGAAAAATCAGCATCTTTCCCCAGGAGAGCTCACCCTGAAGGGGACAGAGGAGATGTGTTCAAAGAGAGCTACACTGCAAGGTGAACAGAAGCCATCCTTTAAGAGGCTCAGCTCTGGTCAAAGCAACCCACTCCTCAGAGCCCTCCCAGGGCTCCCTGTTGCCCAAACTCCTCAGCACTGATTGAGAGAGCTGTGAGTTCAGGATTTGGGTCCTTCCGTATGTTTGGACCTACTCTCTGATTGTGCCCAACTGCTTTTCTCCAGTGGGTCACAGGCAAGTACTGGCCTCGGATTTGTGCACAGCCTACTCCCTATATGTGATCTACCTCCGCTCTCCTAGGTCTTAGCCAGCATATCTCCACTGGAGAGGACTGATCCCCTGACCTGCCCAGGATGAGGAACAGGATCCTGTTAAGTATACAGGGTGTCTGCTACTGAGTTTTAACTGTCACGCGGGTGCTTCATCTTGTGCCATCTTAACATTTATCACAAAGTGCTGCCATTATTTCCTTGCAGAGAGCTGCAGCTCATCTTGTAAATCCTATGAGAGCTGGAGCTACATCCTCACTATTTTTTATGATGGCGATGAGAAGGAGGAGGAGGATGAGTGGTACTGGGTATTGAACCCAGGACTTTGTATATGCTAAGCTAAATCCCTAGTCCCATTATTAGTGATTGAGTCCCTAGTATCCAGCACAATGTCAGGCATATAGGAGGTGCTCAACAAACAATACTTGAATGAATGAATGATGGATGAATGAATAAAAAAGGAAAAAATGGCCATTTAGTGTATGCTAGAAGCAGAATATGTCATCAGAAGACCATGTCTCTACCTGTACTTTCCATGATCCAGAGTTGCCTGAACTCCATCTTTCTCTTCAACTTACACTCCTGAGAATGGGAACAATCTCAGAACAACACATATCCAGGTTTCTGACTCTGGGTACAGACCGGGAACTCCAAACACCTCAAACCAAGCAGGTCAGTACCAGGCACATAGGACAGCGGGTGAATGAATGATACTTCTTTCCTTCATAAAATCAGCTTATATTTTCCATAGGTAGTCAGTAGAGATTATGGTAACATTTACTATGTGACAGTTCTTTTAAGCCCATTTTTTTCAGGTGGAAAAGTTGAGACCCAGGGAGATTAATTATCTTGCCCTAAGTCACAAAGAAAGCAAGTGGCAGAGCCAGTGACGGTGGGGTAGGCACCCGAGTGGCTCCTTGCCATAGTGCCTTTCATCCTACTCACAGGTGAGACAGACCAAGGCTGTGCGGACAGACAGGTCTACAAACAGTGCCCAGTTCTCTGGCACCTGAGAGACGGCAAACGGGATGATGATCTCAGCTGGGGCGTGGAACTGGAGGGCGTAGGTGAAGAAGATGCCCACGGAGTACATCAGCTTGACCGACTGGTACAACCTGCAGACAATCATCAAGAGGATGTGAAATGCAATTTGGCCCCCAGGAAGGGCTGTTTGGGACTCACTTACTGTTCAGAAACTGGTACCTGTCATTGAGTTACAAAATTGGCTAATATCCAATGACTTGGGTCAGACTGGCTGTCAGGACCCTCCTTGGCAACTCATTAAAAGTACACATTCCTGGGCTGGGGTTGTGGCTCAGAGGTAGAGCACTCACCTAGCATGTGCGAGGCCTTGAGTTCAATCCACAGCACCACATAAAATAAATAAAATAAAGATATTGTGTCCAACTACAACTAAAATAATAAATATTTAAAAAGTGCACATTCCTGGAGATGACAAGGCAACAAGCCCATGACCCAGGAACCCCCTCCTTTTAATTATTTAAAACGTATGCATAGAGTAAAATTCAAGTGCAATAGATCTACAGTGAAAAGCATCCCTGCCCTTGATTCCCAGTCTCCAGTTCCCCTTTCCTTAGGCAACCATTCAGAATTGTCTTGTGCTTCCAAGAAATACGCTGCGTATATATAACCTTCCACACCATGTGGGGCCTCACACCCACCCACAGAGGAACATGCTGCACACATTTCTCTACATGCAGTGGATCTCCTTACTTTTTCATTACCAAATATTTCTTAGAGATTGCTCCCTGTCGATACACATAGATCTGGCCCTTCCATTTAATAACAATTTGGCATTCTGATTGCCGGATATAATACTTTTTTAAAACTAGTCACTAATTAATAAATATTTGAATTATTCTTTTGAGAATAATGGTCCTTTTGCCACAATGCTGCAAAAAAAAATCTTTGTTTGCTTTTCTACATGAACGTAATATGTAATTCCACCAATAAGGATGATGGGTAAGAGTGCCCACTTGTCCTACTGTGTTGCAGTCCCAGCTTGTCAAAAGTGTGTGTGAGTACATGACAGTCTATGACATTATGTGTGTGTGTGTGTGTGTCTCGTTTAACTAGCATTTCTATTATCTGCTTTGAGCATCATTTCAAATATAAAATGGTCATTTCTTATTTGCTTGTGAACTGTTTGTTCATACCCTCTGCCCATTTTTTTTTTCTTGAGTCGTTGGTGTTTCTCCTATTGGAAAGGGAAATTTGTTTAAGGCTCCCCGGGAAAACATGAAGATCAGCCAGGATCACACTACAGGCACAAAGCCTTGGTGGAGGTCAAAGCCCATGTTTGGCTGTGGTCCTCGGAAAGAAAGAGTCCTGCCTACATGGTTATTAGAATTTCTTATCCCCTGCCCCCCATTATTGGGGATTGAGCCCAGGGCCTCACACATGCTTGATAAAATTTCTATCACTGAGCTACACACCTGATCTTTAAAAAAAATTTTTTTTAAATGTTTAGCCAGGGTATCACTAAGTTCCAGGCTGTCCCCAAACTTGTGATCCTTCTGTCTCAGTCTCCCAAGTACAGGATATCTTACTTACATAACATAAAGCACAATGTCAAGTAAGTCCCACATTGATTATATCATCTAGTCTTCACAACACAGGGAGGTCGTGGGGCTGGTGGCCTTTTCCTCAGTTTACAACCCTGGCTTTATGGGGAATGGATTCCCTATCACCCTAATTGTCTCAGGGAGACCAAAGCTGTGGTGCACAGCAATGATAAGACCTAACCCTCCACAAGGACTTACTATGTGCTAAGCATTTTCTATATCAAACCAATTAATGCTCACACTCTCCCTGTGAGAGAGTGTCGTGGTCATTTATGGTGCTCACTAAAGACTTTCAGGTACATCCCTGCCTCCTTGGAGTACCCAGACTGGGGCGGTGTGAGCAGGAGAGATACCTGCCATTCCAGGTGAAGTTTTGCCAGCCTGGTGCACAGTGTGTGATTCCCCGTGCTCTCTGCCATGGCCACCAGCCACACTTTGTAGAGTGGCTGTTCCAACAGCAAGAGCCTTAGCCATCCCATAATGTACATGCAGCATGAGCATGCAATTAAGCATTGGTGTGTTCAGCCACTGAGATTATTATTGGAGCAAAACTTACTCTATCCTGACTGATATAAACAGGCATAAGTATGATCCTTATTTTACTGAGCACAGGAATTGGGAGTCAAAAGATCAGGTGTCTTGCCCAAGGTCAATTAGATACCTTTAGAACATGTGCTCTTAAACACTGGCTGTCTTGACGGCTTGGCCACTATGTATCCAATACTGCCACTATAACAGCTAACGTGGAATGTTTGCATACCATGGCATACCATGTGCCAGCCTCCAGAATATTTTCTGGATGAATGAATGATTGAATACAAGAACTCCAGACCAAGTTCCAACTGGGACACAGCAATAGTGGTGTGGTCTGTATCTGAAACTTGGGATCTGAGTAGCAATCCCTCTGTGGGACTTCAATCTTTACTTTGAGTTATACTTTTTGTTGTTCTGTTTTGGTTTCTTTAACATTCCTAGATCATTTCTGTTCTAGAGTCTTTGCACTTTAGGGTCAGAGAGATTAGATTCAAGCTTCTGCTTCTCACAATGCGAGCTAGGAAAATTACTTAGAGCCTCTCCAAATATCAAATTCCTTATCTATTAAATGGAGTTAATTATAATAATGCTAACTCATGGGGTATAAGAAATTAAATGAGATAGTGCATGGTGCCTAGATCATCAAACTTACCAATTATTACAATTAATAGTAATATTAACAGTTAATATTTGTTACTAAAGAAAACCCAAGTGAATGCCCATCTCTTGCTAAGGTGCAGATCCCATGCTTCTCCCTATACCTGAGGCCAGCAGGGGACGTACCAGCAGGTGGGCAAGTTGAGGGTGATGCTGGCCTGGGTGTCTGACCCAAACTTCATGTAGCCCAGGATTCCCAGGCAGGAATAGAGAAAGATGACAAGGGACATCCCCACGTACAGAACAAGGGGGAAATGCTGTGGATTCTTCATCTGGTTTTTGAGAGGCAGAACCTGGAGATGAAAAGAGTTTGGAAAACAAAGGGTAGAAAGAGATGTGGCACTTGGTGTAGGTTCAGGCTCCCCCGCTAGCATGGCTGTCCTTCTCTGGGTGGGCCCAGAGTCAGAAGGGGCCTCTCCACGTGGCCACACTGCTTTCATTTTTCTCTCATTTTCTATTGCCATGAATGCTCAATTCCATCTTTTCTCTTTTGGGGAGATACGGAGAGTACTAGAGATTGAACTAAGGGGGAATTGACCACTGAGCCACATCCCCAGCCCTATTTTGTATTTTATTTAGAGACAGGGTCTTACTGAGTTGCTTAGTGCTTTGCTTTGCTGAGGCTGGCTTTGAACTCACGATCCTCCAGCCTCAGCCTCCCAAGCCACTGGGATTTCAGGTCAATTCCATCTTTTCTGATTAGGAAATTCTCATCTTCATGACGTAGTGTGGTGTATGGAGCAATAGGCACCCTGAATGCATCACTGTTCTGCACTTTTTATAAATGCTATTCATTTAGATACATGGAATTGCAACTGGCCACCCTAAAGAACATTAGGGGACCATTCACTCAAACCCAGCAGTCGTACCATACCAACGCCTTCAAAAGTGAAGATGGCAGTACCAAAGAACAGCAAGAAGGTATTCCAGTTTGCCATCAGGGGCAGGTTGCTTGGATCTGGAATGTCCTGCAAGGAAGTAGAAGAAAGACATTGGATTTGCCATGGTATCAAAGTCATCCCAAACCATCACCTGGTAGAAGCTGGGTCATGCATGACCACAACAGAGATAATCAGTGTTAGGAGCGCTCATGAGATATCTAGAGCCCAGTCCATTTTCTTATCTTTCAATGCTTGAATCACATACTTAGTGGCCCACCTTGTAATATTTGCAATCATAAAAATGTCTACTCTGATACTTTCTAACTTGTATATCTTTGTCACAGAGTACCAACAGACAAAGCAAAAAAAAAAAGATCATTCATTCATTCATTCATTCATTTAATTTTTATTGTGGTGAATTCACATAGCAAAATTTACCATTTTAACCATTAAGTGTCTAACTCAGTGGCATTAAGTGCATTTGCGTTGTTATATATTCCTCACTACTCCCCACCTCATACCTTTTTCATCAGCCCAAACTGAACACAGGAATCTATTAAAATAGCAATTCCCCATTAACCCCTCTCCCTGTAACCCACATTCTACTCTCTGTCTCTATCAATTTGATTATTATGGCTACTTCATATAAGTGGAATCACATAGTATTTGTCTTTTGGTAGTCTGGCTTATTTCACTTAGCTCAATGTCTTTGAGGTCCATCCATGTTGTAGCATCTTTCAGAATCTCACTCCTTTTTAGGGCTAAATAATATTCTATCATGTATATTTATATAGCACATTTTCTTTGTTCATTCATCATTCAATGAACACTTGAGTTTTTCCCAACTTTTGGCTGTGAGGAGCCATTTTATCTTTACCTGTGGAAAAGGCAGGACATGGAGAGAAGAAGGGAATTATGCAAATCTTCTCTGCAAGTTACTGACAGCTCAGATAAGGGCTTAGTCTCCTGTGTCCCAGCCCTCTATCGCCTCTCCTCATCCCTTCTCAGTGCTGTGTGGTCCACGGGCTAGCAGGGCAGCTATGGAGGGTCTAGGGGGAATAATTATTTTAATGGACTTCTGTGGTGAGCAGAACAGTCACTCCCCAAAGATATGCAGGAACCTGTGGCTATGTGATGGCAAATGGCAAGGGAGAATTAAGTTTTCAGATTGAATGAAGGCTGTTCATTATCTAATCCTTTATTTTAAGTATATATATATATATATATATATATATATATATATATATATATATATAGTATATGGACACAACACAATGCCTTTATTTTTATGTGGTGCTGAGGATAGAACCTGGGTCCCGCCTGTGCTAGGCGAGTGCTCTACCACTGAGCCACAATCCCAGCCCTCATCATCTAATCTTAAAATAAGATTACTCTGGACTATCCGGATGGGACAAGGGTCTTAGAAAGTGGAAGAGGGAATCAAAGGAGACAGACTGCAGCATGAGAAAGACTCGGTCTGATTTTCCGGCTTTAATTTTTCTTGCTTGCCAAAGCATGCAGGCAAGAAAACCAGAAAAAGCAAGAAATGGATTCTCCCCTACCCTCCAGCAAAGGTGCAGACTCATGGATATCTTGATTTTAGCTCAGGAGACCTCCAGAGCTGTAAAATAAATTTGTGATGTTTTAAGCCCCTGGACTTGTGGTCATTTGTTATAGCATCAATAGGAAAAGGAGACAATGCCAAAGACTCTAGACTCAAAGAAATGAGTGCAATGGTGGGATGGTGGAGTTTCAGGACCTATGATGAGGATAGAGCACAAGAGCTCCAGAGGCAAACTGATTGGAGGTAGTGGAAAGACTGCTTTCTGAATGCCAGTTTCCTCGTCTGGAAATGGAATAAAGACAGTACTTCCAAAACCGTAGTATTGTGAAATCCAGTAAGTTAGATAGGTTAAGTACATGGTACTAAGTAGATCAAATTCCTTTATCACCCATGCATCCTTTGTCACCTACCATGATTACAGTTTTTGTTGGTTATTAGTCAATGTTAATCTCCCAGAATGAATGTGACTTCCATGAGAGGAGACACCCTATCTGCCTATTTTCACTTACCCCTGAGTCCCCAGCTCCTTGCACAATGCCTGGGATCACAGAAGGTAGTAAGGACCTATGAATTGTTGAATGACTCATTATTATTCAATGTTATCCATGCTGGTGTTGAGGAGGACAGGATGCTGCTAACAGAGATAATTGGCTTTTAGAGTTTATGGGGCAGAAATGTTCCTGGATATCACTTTGGCAGGGGATGCTCAGAGCAGAGGATGGAACTTTCTCACCTCCACCTGCCCACCATGATAATAACCCATCCCAGGTGTCTCAGAGGCCCTGGACCCTGACACCTTTCTTCCATGATTTCAGGCACAGACCTGGATGATATACTCAAAGATCAGGATCATGCTCCCCAGGGTGGTGATGTTGGCCATTGTTGAGAAGACAGACAGCACCTTGAGGTTCCGGATAAACACCAACATGATCAGGAAGGGCAGGATTGTCAGCATGTAGATACGAATGTCCAGGATGGGGGTCAGCACCAGGAACTTCCTGGGCTGGCAGGTGTTGGAGGTGACATGGATTTCTTCTACTATCTGAAAGAGAACATAGTGGAAGGTGTAGCAGTTGAAGACAAAGCACAGGATGTCCAGCTCCAGTGGAATTTCAGAAAATCACAAATAATGTTTTAGTATAAATACATTCCAAATAGCGCATAAGACATATCTATATCTATATATAGTAAAATATCTACATGAAAAAATACATGACACTCAGTTAAACTGGAATTTCAGATAAGTAGTGAAATATATATTTATATATAAATTATTTATATATTATAATTATTTGCATATATGTTCATATATAAATGTAAATAAAATGTATATATCCCTACTTATCCAAAATTCCAGTTTAACTGAATGTCATGTATTTTTTCATGTATGTGTGTGTGTGTGTGTGTGCAAAATGCATTCTAGTTTAACTGGGTGTTATGTATTTTTATTTACCAAATCCATCAACATGAACCAGGAACCCTTAGAGTCATGAAACCTCAAGGTTGAAGGGTACTTTGTCAGCTAGCCCAACTTCTTCTTTCCCACCAAATGACTTTCTTTCATGCAGCCAGAGAAAGAAAATTTATCACACAAGCACATCCTCCTCAACCTTAGAGAGCCCTACAAGTCAGGAAGCTCTGGATATTGAGCAAAGCCTACCTGCTTGCAGAGTCTGTCTATAGGACTTGCCACAGTTCTTTGGGCTGTTAGGTACACTTCCTCTATTCCACAAGAGGCTGAGATTGACTTACAATATGTCTTAGGTAGGCAATAACAGGAAGTTAGCCACTGGTTTTCCTTATTTTCAGTTAGTCATTTTTTTTACATGACAACCTGAGATGGTACCTAATGTACCCATACTTTACCCATACTTTTCAGGCTAAAAATTTTTTCAAGTTGCTTTGGCTTCTTTATGATCCTTTTAGAATATGATTCTCAGGACTGAAAGAATTCCCAGTCATGATCTAATCCAGGAGTGGAAATGAAGCTGTCTCTTCCCATGACTTAAATACTCTGCTTTTGCTAATGTAGCCCTAGCAGCAGCAGGTCTGCTTTTCTCTCCCTTTGCCCAGAAGAGGCTTCTTCACCTGTTGTAAATTGTCTGCCATAAACATAAAATAAACACTGCAGAAGCCCAGCTGGGTGATGATCAATAAGAAGCTGACAGTGTACCTGGGAAAGAAAAAGAGGGAGATAGAGTGAGAAAACAAACATTCAAGTTATTATTTATTTATTTCGGAACTGGTGGTTGAACCCAGGGATGTTCTACCACTGAGCCACATCCCCAGCCCTTTTATTTATTTATTTATTTATTTATTTATTTATTTATTTATTTATTTATTTATTTATTTATTTATTTTGACACAGTGTCTCACTAAGTGCTTAGGGCCTTGCTAAGTTGCTGAGGCTGGTTTTGAATTTGCAATCCTCTTGCCTCAGCCTTCGGAGTCACTGGGATTACAGGCATGCACCACTGTGCTTGGCCTAAAATTATTTTTAAAGTGTTTATTTGGTGAAATAATTATTTTTGTGGATTTAGATTTTTTTCCCAATTTTTCTTGTTTTGAAAAATTTCAAGCCCTCAGGAAAAGTTCATAGAAGAATATAATTAGCATCCATATATATGTTGGCTAAATATATCAATTGTTAAGTTTTGGCCCCAAATCTTTTCATATGTGTACATACTCATCTGCACGCAAGTATATGCATGCACACATGTGCGTGTGTGCGTGCACACATACACATACACACACATACCTGATTTTTTTTCAGAATCATTTGAAAGTCATTTGCAGATGCCATAACATTTTGACCCTACACACCTCAGCATATTTTCTTTAAGACTGATATCCTGAAAATGAATTTTAATATCTTCAAATACATAGTCCCTATTTTAGATATCACAATTCTCTCCAAAATATCTTTTATGGCTGTTTTATTTTTATTTTCATTTATTTTTTTCATAGTGCAAACCCAGCACCTCACACATGCTAGGCAATTGCTCTACCACTGAACTACATCCCTGGCCCTATACATTGCATTTTATTAAAACTCTTCTGAAGTTTGTAAAATTGCTCTATTCTTCCTATCCTGCTTTTCCTTTCTCCTGCAGCTGTTCATTTTTTGGTTGTTTGATGTCAGACCCTGTGTCCTGTAGTAGATCTGTCTTCTAGACTCGGCTGAGGACTTCCTCGTGACATTTATCTGGTTTCTCTATCCCCTGTGCTTCCTATAAACTGATACCAGATCCAGTGACTCAATCAGATGAAGCTCCTTAATTTATTTTTCTGGCAAGAATATACATGCAGTGCCCCGTACACCTCGCTGTGATCCATGATGAGACACCGTGTCTGACTGTCCCACATCCACACAGGAGCTGAGTAGATCTATGCTCAGTACTTGGGGTAGGTGGCATCTGTGCCTTCTTCTTGTATAAAATTCCCAACTGACTTTTTACCTGAATGGCTTGAGCATCCATTAATGATTTTCTACACAGTATGGGCAGTTTTTAATCAAGCTCCCTAGGTATCTCCTAGTACACTAAAAATTATGAATTATTGGTTGAACTAATATTTTCCCAAATGTTTCCAACTCCTTCTGGATCACTGGATTTCCAAAGAAATAGTACATGGAAACTAGATGAGTGCGAGGCTAGATATTCTGGATTCTAGTCCTTGCTCTGCTACTAATTTCCTGTGTGATCCTGAGCAACTTTATTGTCCCTCTCTGAGCTCCTTTATGCCCTGTCTTAACAGGTGTGAATCTAGTGATCTCTAAGGGCCATTCCTGCCCTAACTATCATTGAGGGTGTCATCAAAAACTGTTCATGACCTCACCTTTCTGAAAATCAGAGTGACTATTTTGGGGGAGGTCAGTGACCTCCTGGGATGGTGGCAGACACAATATTGACCCCACTACCTCCCAAAGGACTTTTCTGGAAAAGGTTGCAGTGTGAGGTTTTCAAGTCCCTATTCCACCATTACCCATGGTTGTGCCTTTGAATAAGCTATTTTATCTCTATGAGCCTTGGTCACCTCATTTTTCCGGGACCCTGTCTACCTCACCAAGGTTGTTGGGATGATCAGAAAACCATTCTAACTTTTTTATCAAGCAAGGGGACAACCTAAAAATTCACCATTAGGGGAATGATCAAATGAAACTATGGTATATATCCACATTTGGGAGCCCTAAAAAATTATGAGGTGGATCTATATGTTCCAATGAGAAATAAATACAGACATACTATTAGATGAAAAAGCAAATTTCCAGAAAAGATTCCAAGTAATGTGCAAATTAATATGCCCATTCACATACATATATTGATGTAAACCTAGAGAAAGAAAAAGTCAAAGGGAATGTTTACTAACTAGATCTCAGGGACTACCTCTTGAGTAAAGAATCGGGTAGGGAATGGAGCTATTGAAGATATTTTCTATTGGTAGTTTCCCAAAAGAACATGTTCATTTATTTTATTTTATTTTATTTTTGTACCAGGCATTGAACCTGGGGGTGCTTAACCACTGAGTCACATCCCTAGCTCTTTTTATGTTTTATTTTAAGTGAGGGTCTCACTAAGTTGCTTAGGGCCTTGCTTAGTTGCTGAGGCTGGCCTTGAACTTGTGATCCTCCTGCCTCAGCCTCCCAAGCCACTGGTTATACAGGTGTGTGCCACCATGCCCGGCTAAGAACATATTCACTTAAAACTTTAAAGAGAAATAAAGAACAAAAAGATGAGGCTTGTGATGATTGTCATCTCACAGTTACTTCTACATCCACGACTACTACCTTCCCCACACCGAATGGGACCTCAGCCAGGGGCTGGGGCAGGTTTCCAGGCTGTACATTGTGGCCTCCCCATAGTTCACAAAAGTCGTCTGCAATCTAGGAGGAAAGGACAATGTGTAACTTAGAATGTTTCTGTTGGAGTTACAATTTGCTCCTCGAGTGAGTAATTATGATCTATTTGTATGTCAGCATAGAGTGCTCTGTTAATTTTCTGATAATCATATATTTTATACAACTTTCAGAGATTTGCTTTTTATTCTTTTTTCCTTTTGGCAGTTATCTTTTTAAGAACAGATCCTTAAGTGGATCCTAATGGATTTCTTTGTTTTGAATAAACAGTGGTTGATTTAGGTCTGCCATGCGGGAGAGAGGGGACATGGTCAGGGGAGGAGATGGGGAAGGAGGCAGAGCAGGTGTGGCCAGCCAGGGATGCGTCCTTTCTCAACTATTCTGGTCCTTCTCATTGCCCAGTTATCAGGACATTTGAGACGCCTACATGGACAGAGTCCCATGCACACACCACCCTCAGGCTCCTGCTCAGCAGGAGGATGTGATGGCCAGGTTCCAGCCTGTCCCTTTTCCCTGTCTCTCTCCCTTTCTCAGGGTGGGACAGGCCCTGTTGTAGGACTGTCCTGGTCCTGGAGAGGAGCAGGTGGGAGCAGCAGCAGGTTGCTGAGATCCTGGATACACAGCATTCATTTCAGGACTGCTAGGACAGAGACAGGGCTCTAGGCTTAACAGGAAATGGGGTAAATGCCATTCCCTCATGAGCTGGAGACCTTGAGCAAGTCTAATCTCTTCTGACTTCTGGGGTTCAGCTTTTCCACATGCAGACTAGGCTTTGAGCAGGAGACAGTGAGAGATGGCTATCAGGATGTGTTGGAAACACACTTTTATTATTTATTGTTATTATCAGATATTGTTATTTCTGATATTTAGTGAGATTGGCATTCATGCACAAATGGGTTCAGTTTGCAGAGGTCTGTTAAATATGAGTCTGAAGGTTGGGGATCAGACAGGGATTAGTGATTCGGTAGATGACATAGGATGTAAGAATAGGGAGTAGTGAGGTCAGTGGCTACACAGCAAGTTCTCAACAGGATCAACTGGGACTCGACTCCAGAAGGACAAGGAAGGAATGAAGTCCCGGAAGTACCAGGTCATCTGACTAATGAGAAGAAAGCAGATGAGTTTCTTGTTATTTTTTTTTTCTTAAATATGAAATCTCTAAATTTTTAAACATTGGCTTAGAAAAGAAAAACTGTGAAAGCACCCCAAAAATATATCTGAAGGCTACAGCTAGCACTTAGGCCACCCTTCTGGGGGCCTCTGCATTAAAGAAAAATGGAAGAGACATCATCGAGAAAAAGTCAGAAGCCTACCTGGGGACATAATGACCCAGGAAGCTCAAGACCACATGGTTAAGAATGGAGTCAGACAGGCCTTCCAACACTGGCTCTGCTACCCGCTGGTTGTGCGGCCCTGGGCAAGGTATCTAAGCCTCAATTTACTTATCCATAAAATGGGAATAAAAATAAGGCCTACTCTAGAGATTTACTGTAAGAAGCAAAGCTTTGGATTTGAACACTCTGCAGATCTCAGCATTATTTTTTTTTTTCGTGACTATTGTCTTTTCTTTCTGAAGTCGTTTTTGCATTCATTTCAAACACATACACCTTGACACACTATGTGCTTTCAATAACTGAAGTTGTTGTACCCTTTGCATTCCGTGGCTAATTAGGTCTTTGCGTCTACTGGCTTGTCTTTACAGGGGTTCTCCTGGAACAAATTACCCTGATGAGGGTTTAGTATTGGGGTGGGGAGATTAAAAGGAACAGAAAGACGTCGGTGTGTCTTGCCTCACGTGGTTGTTGTCAAGTGCTCTACCATCTTTTATCACTTTTAATGTTCCCAGGTGAGGGGATTTGGGCTCAGAGGGGTACAGGAAACTGACCAAGCCTTCCAGCTAGCCGGCAGCAGAGTTGGGTCTCTTCTTTGGATTCTTTCCCACCCTCCACCACTTCTGTTGGATCCAGAGCAGCTGGGTGGCCTGGAGAAGTGGCCTAATTATTGGTTCAGTGATCAAAGGAAACTCAACCCCCCAGTGGATGGGGCCTGGTGCTGGGGTGAGAGAGGAGCAGCACCCACCTCTGAGAGAGGTGGTGAGCGCAGTTCAGCAAGATGACCATGCAGTGCACTGTGAGGATTCCGATGGCCAGCAGGCTGATGGGCCCAACCTGAAGGGAGAGGAGAGGCCCCGGGTGGTGATTGATGGGCAAACTGGCCACGCCCACACCCTGGCCCTCTCTCAGTTTGGGCACTAGGGCTCCTTGCCAGGGTGGGAGACAGTGCATGGATGTCCTTGTCCCCTGGATGCTATGCTTTGAATGTCCCTCCTGGTACCGCTACAAAGTGGCTGCTAGGATTCTACCTGTGACCCAGATCTCACCACTCTCCATACACCCCAGGCCTTTCTCATCTGCCTCCAGTTTCACCCTGCTGTAGTCTCTTACGATGATTTCAACCTTTTACACAGCCTAGCCCTCACAAGTTCCTTTTGTGACTTAATTCTTTTCCTCTAGTAGAGAGGTTATCAACAAGGGCCCTATTGACATTTGGGGGCAGATGACTGTTTTAAGGATCTGTCCAGTGCATTGTAGGATATTGACCAGCATCCTGAGCCTCTACCCATTAGGTGTCAGTGACAGTTACAGGTTGTAACAACCAAAAATGTCTAGGTGACAAATATGAGGGTGGGGGTGCACAAAATATCCCCATTTGAAAATTGTTGCTCTACTGTGTCTAATTTGTCAATATTCCAGAAGGAAGATCATAATCTTCCAGATCTGATCAGAAGGGCAGAAGGTAATGAAGGACTCTCTCACCTCCTTTATTCTGGATACTCCTGCCTTTATTGATGAGATAACATTATCTGTCATAAAGAAACAAGTGAGGGGTAAAGAGCATCACTAGTCTACAACAGAATGTAGCCTGAATGTGGCAGAAACTTTCTTGTCTTGTTCATTTTTGTATTCCTGGGGCCTAAGAATACACATAGTAGCTCTCAATAAACATTTCTCAACTGGATCCTGGTAAGGAGTTCTGGGCTGGGAGACAGAGAATAAAGAAATCATCCAACTCTTCTTAGTAGGCAAAACTCAACAATATAAAAGAGCCATCTTAAAAAGCATACACCACACTGGCAAGGACATTTTTGCTGAAGGTTCTGTGGTCCTGCTACTCTTCTGCAGATGACTGAGAAGCCAGAGGATCCCAAGGGGGAGAGTTCCACCTCTGAGTTGGAACCCCTACATATCAGAAGTTATATGAGGAAGTAAGGGTCTCACTGTGCCTTCTTCAGCCATGAGGCCACTTACCAGGCCTGGAGAGAAGGGAAATCTCCCTGAAACTAAATGGATATGACCTATTTGGTATCAATTCAATTCAATAGGCATTAACGGGGCTTCCTGTGTGACAGTCTCTACAGTGGGGACTGAGAGAAGGTCTAAAGGGAAATCAGACAGTTCTTGCCCTCAGAGCCTTCCGTTAGGTGCAGGAGATAGGTCTATTAAAAAATAAATATGTCCTAATGTATTAAATATGATATGTCAAGAGCTTTGTAATGTTTTGAACGACCAATAAAAATAAATAAATAAATAAATATGTCTCACCTTTAAAAATTCCAGGTGAGGCAGATACATGTGTAGCAGGAAAGGAGGTAAGGCAGTATTGATATTCAGGAGAGCATCATTAATATTCATAAGGAAAGTATTAATATTCATGAGGACTGTATTAATATTCATATAAACAGGACAGTTTTAGAAAGGAGGCAAATTTCCAAAGTCAGAAACAAGAGGTCAAGGAGTGCAAGGCAGTGTGGGCAGTGGGAGACATCCTTGCCCTCATGGCCAAGCCACTTTCTCCTATACCATTCAAATGGTTTGAAACAGAAGTCACACACTCAGATGCCTGCAGGGCCCTGGCTGCTGGTGAGATATACTCCTGGGGACTGGGAAGACAGGGGCAATGTGGGGTCTGAATGAGTGTGGCAGCACCTTATGAGTAGCGTTCCTTCCCCTCCAGGGATGCTCAGTTTGGCTCCAGGAGATTGATAGGTGCATTTCCTGTTATAGAGCACACCCCCAGATCATTCACTGATGAACTGTGCAGTAGCCTTAGAGGTACATGTCCCCTTTGCCCCCAGGGACCAACGATGTCTCTTACCAGTAAGCCGGCATTTTTTATGGCCAGGGGAAGCCCCAGGAGCCCAGTGCCAACATTGCATTTCAACAGGTGGACCAAGGTTTGCAACAGCCTGTGGTGGGGAAGGAGGGAGAAAAGAGAGAGTGTCAGGGGAAGGGAAGGGTGGCCCAGCTCAGCCTCTGCCCAGCATTCCCGGGGTGCCAGTTGAGAAGAGGACACCCACAGCTCAGTGATATCTCAGATCCAGAGCTGGTGCTAGCTCAGGTGGCTCAACACACACTAGGCTTTAAAGAAAAAAATGACCCCAAATTGCTGTCATTCTGGAGAACATTCTGTTATTGAGATCTACTATACATCTAGCACCTAGACAGACAAGAATTCGTAAAAACGGCCTCTATTTACAGAATATTTATTGCACCAGGTAATTTTTAACTCATTTACTAGAAAAAAAGCACAATAATTCTCTAAGCACATAGGGGTGACTGCCACCACCTGTAAACTGATTCTAGTTTGTTCATTCCTTGATCCATTGAGTCAACTAATATTCACTGTTAAAATTAATTGAAATTTATATATCCACATATTGCTACATAATACATCCATGCTACATATTGGATATGGATAATTTTGTTTTTGTGGTGCTAGGAATCAAACCCAGGGCCTTGCACTTGCTAGGCGAGCCCTTAACCACTGAACTCCCAGTACAGATGTGGATAAACTTTAATATCAATTACTACTGTGCTTACAGAGTATTTACCAGGTACTAGCAAGGCGCCAAGGTTGTAAATGTTCTTGACATCTGTGCTCAGGGCTCCTGCCCAGGCAGCTCCAATCCTAACATGGATCAGGGTAGAGGTGGGAAGAGGAACATGAGAACGGAATCAAAACCAAACTTAAGTAGGAAGTGAGTGCCAGGTATGATGGCACATTCTTGTAATCCCAGAGACTGGGGAGGCTGAGGCAGAAGGATCAGAAGTTTGAGACCAGCTTTAGCAACTTAGCAAGGCCCCAAGCAACTCAGGGAGACCCTGTCTCAAAATAAAACATAAAAAGGGCTGTGTATGTGTCTCAATGATTAAGAGCCCCAGAGTTTAATCCTTGATGCCAAAAAAAAAAAAAAAAATAGTGGGAAATGAGTACAAGAGCACTGAATTGAGAGGCAGGAGGCCTGGGCTCTGAGTTCTGCTGTGACGTCCACCTACTGTGTTTAGTTACTAGTTTGGAAGCCCCTTAGCTGCAGAAATCCCCTGTTTTCTTATCTGCCTATGTGCCAGGAGCGCTGTAAGAACCAGAAGAGTGACCTGATGGATCTTGGAATCCTGAAGCGCTTTACAGGGGTGACCGCCACCACCCTGGACAGTGCTTACTTGTCAGCAAGGGCCTCCTTCAAGAGGAAGCAGAGCTGGGCTAATAGGAAAAAGAAAACAGGTCTGTTTTAAGCAGACAGAGGTGTCCCTTTGACCTGGTATGAGAGGGCACCTGGAGGAGGCCATCAGAAGAGCAGAGAGAAACCACCCAAGGTCACACAGTGCTCATGATTCCTGGATTCTGTCCCATCTATTAGGGAGCCCAGGCAAAGGGCTATGAGGTCTCTGTACAGGTTTGCCATACCAACCTGGGAGGGGGTGGGGTGAGAACAGAGCCTCTCTGACTTCCTGCATTTTTGTTAATCAGTCTGTGTACCTAAGAACAGGGTCATCTCGTCCCTTCACTCCAAGAGGTAACTTTTATTTCTCCATAACAGCGATTATTGGAAAATATGTCAAAGCTGTATATAGTTTTTTTCTCTTTTGTCAATTCCATTGTAATTTTTCCAAAATATGTGCACTTTCTCCCAGTTCCTGCCCTCCTCCCTCCATCTCTTCCCTGTTCCTGTGACAGACGGCATCTTGCCCCACTTAAACCTGGGAAAGGTGAGACATTTTGGAGAAACCATTGCACCTTAGCCAACAGCAGTACACATCAAGACTTTGGAGAGTAAACTTGGGTCGGGTTGGAAGCTTCCCTGGAACATTTTTTTAAAAATACACTTTATATGTTTTATTGAAAAATAATGTCTTGCCATTATAAAAGGAACTTCCCAAATCCCACCAATTGAAAATAACCATTCATAATGATGAGCCTTCCTCTAGGCACCCCTACTTGCTTCAAAGTACACAGATTTTTACAAGGAGAACTTACTGGATCCTAAAATACTTTTCTCTGTGAATATTACATGATACACATTTTTTCATGTCTAGAGATCTCCTCCATAACTTGTAATGACTGTATTATATTCTATTATATGTTTACACCATACTTTAACCATTTTTTTTTTATATACTGGGGATTTAACTTGGGGGCACTGGAACACTGAGCCCCCATCCCCAGTCCTATTTTTGTACTTTTTATTTAGAGACAGGGTCTCACTGAGTTGCTTAGTACCTCGCTGTTGCTGAGGCTGGATTTGAACTCATGATTCTCCTGCCCCTGCCTCCCAAGTCACTGGGATTATAGGCATGCACCACCTTGCCTGGCATTTTAACCATTCTTATTGTTTCTGGATTTTCAATATTGTAATCATTGCTTCAATAAAAATGGTCATGAATACTGTCTGTGATTTCATTAGAAAAAAATTCTAGAAGTGATATTGTCGATTAATTATATTTATGAAAAAGCTAGGTAGTAACCCAAAAAGTAATTCAAAAGTTAAAACAAAATAAATTACAATAAAAACCTGTATAATAAATATGAAGCGCTCTCCTATCTCTGTCTCTCAGTCTCCCGATTCTCTTCCTCAGAGACAGCTACTGCTGCCAGTTATGTGTGTACATGTGTGTAGTCACATGTGTATACTTTCAAAGACGGGATATGTCAAGAAAGTACTTGTGTATTTTATACAAATAGCATTTTAAAATCTAACATAAAACATTGCCATCTAAAAAAGCACCAATTTAATTCTCCCTAAGACATGGTATTCTAATCAATGCTGGTTCTTATCACTTAACAGTATCATTATAGCTCATGGTTATTATCTGATCTGGTTACAAGATAATAGTCTGATTAGCAATAAAAGTCTTAGAGAAAAATTCCCTGTGTCTGAGTTTGAGGTAGGACATATTTACTGTGAGATCTAGGGGGCAGGGGAGAGAGAAAGAGAGAGAGATGGCAGGGATTTTGAGGAGAGGAAAGCAACCTTGAACTGGAGAAGAAAAAAAGAGCCTCCAGCCCAAGACAGGAAATTGTTCCTGGAATCCAGCAGTTCACCTTGGGGATGGCTCTTCTATCTGGATTCTTTTGCAAAGATTGGGAAGTTGGCGTGATCCCCAGAACTATGGGGTCAGCTTTCTTAGGTTCTACAGGTTTCCTCTTTCACCTAGACACCCCTGTTCCAGGAGCATGGGTGTGTAAAGGAGCGAAAAGTAGGAGAATTTGGTCCAGAGCTGCCAAAAAGCAGCATTGCCCTAAGGTCTGGAAGGGGGTGTGGCCACTTACGATAGAGCGTTGTCTTCCTCAGCAGGAGGGGCATTTTCTGGGGTCAAGCTGCTGCTGCTGTTGCTGCTGCTGCTCTTTGAGGGGGACTTAGACCCATTGTCCAAGTTCAGCTCATTGTTATAGTCCTTTCCAAGAAGTGACTTCTTCAACATGGTGGCTAGGTGGCAGAGCCTCAGGGGGTCTAGTCCTAGTACAGTCTTGAATAGGCCTCTGATGGATCTTTCTCTGGAGAAGCCATAGCTACAGACCTGAGATTCTGGCTCCCAATTCCCAAGGGAGCCTGGCCCTGGCTAAAGACTGAGCGTGTGAGTCAGGGAAGCAGTGGCGGAGAAGCCCCACCTGGCTCTTGGGAGATTTATAAGAGCCCCATCTCGGGATGATGCTCAGTCCTCTTGCAGTTGCTTGGATACCTGCCAGGAATCTTGCCTGGGCTTTTGGCCTCTCCCAGTTTAGCCCTCACGGCTGTCCGGCAAAGTGAACAAGGTGACAAGGAGGAAGAAGGTACCATTTGACTGGAGGTTCTGGTGCCTGGATGTGGACCCAGACTCAGTGCATAGCTCTCTGGCTAGGAAGAAAACAGAGTTACCTCACAATGGAGGCTGTCTGGCCAATAAGCTGCTGCAGAATCCCAGGATGCAGGATGGTCCTGTATAGCATCATCTAAGACCACCTTCTCTGGGTAAAAATGAAGAGTGGCTTATAAGGTCCAATCAAATGGCAGTTGCTCAGAATTTCTAAACAGGAGGAATGTATGGACTTCCACCTATCTGGAAGGAAGTGTAAATCAACTTTTAAAAAATTATTTATTCCAAAAATATTTATTGAGTACCTAATATATACTAGTAACTGGGTAGAAAACCTACAACAGTTTTTTCACATGAGACTGGGAGAGACAGTCAATAAACAGAAAAGCATGTCGAGAATATGTTAGCTGCTAAAAGAAAAATTATGCAGAAAAGCTGAATGAGGAGTAGGGGGAGGGTTGCAATTTTAGACTGGGTAGTGGTATGCTTCAAATCTTAAATGTCCCCCAAAGCCTGGTCCCCAGCTGATGTTCCATTGGGAGCTAGTGGAGCCTTTGAGAGGTTGGGCCTGGTAAAAGGAAGTGAGGTCACAGGGGCACCTTTGAAAGGGAAGGTGTGCCCTCCCCCTCTCTTTCTGTCCCAAGGAGAGCAGCTTTGCTGTACCATGTGTTCCTATCACAGGCCCCAAATTCGTGCCTCACCTCAGGCCCCAAATGACGGAGCCAACTAACCATGGTGCTCTGAAACTGTGAGCTAAAATAAAATCTTTCCTCTTTTTAGGTTGATTATCTCAGGTATTTTTGTCACAGCAATGAAATGCTAACTCAGAAAAAAATGGGTACTGAGAGGCAGGGTTGTTGCTGTGACTATACCTGACAGTGAGCTTCAGAAGCCTTTGGAAATGGTTTGGAGAAGTCTGGAATAGTTTGGAGAAGCAGACTAGAGAAACCCTAGACTGTTGTAAGTGGACCTTAATGGGCGATTCTGGTGGACACTCAGAAGACATACTGTGTTGACATAAAATAATGACTCTATGTTAACAGGAATAAGAAAATAGTATGTTCCAAACCACACATGAGTGGCCATGTCCCTCAAAACATAGATTCAAGTTAATCTGAATGATATGTCCCACTGTGGAACAAGTTACATGAGCTTTCATAGTCACAGAATGAAAGTAAGTCATAAATCAATACATTTACCAGTTACATTGATGAGAAAATCAGGTCGGTGGGTTATAGCAAGGCGGGGAAGCCTCTTCTACAGGTTTCAGATGTTACAGCATTCTAGCTTTAGGGTAGGTGGAGGCTAGAGGTCTCCTAGGCCATTCTGAGAAGTTATTGTGACCTATTAGTCACAAGAATGTTAGGTCAGATACAGAGTTAATGTAATTGACTATAAAGGGTCTGAGATAGCCCAAGATATTTTTGGCTCTTGACTTCCAACTTTCCAGTTCTCCACAATCACAATTATCTTGTCATCCAAGGTCAGGCAGTGGTAAAATAAACAAAATTTATCATCCTAACCATTTTGAAAAAATTTTTTAAAAAATCTCATTTCTATTGTATTATTATTATTATCATTATTATTTGCAGCACTGGGGATTAAATCCAGGAGAGTTCTACCACTGACCTACATTGCCAGCTCTTTTATTATATTTTGAGATAAGGTCTTGCTAAGTTGTTGAGGCTGGCCCTGAACTTGTGATCCTTCTGCTCAACCTCCCAAGTTCCAGGCATGCGCTAACACACATGGTGCATTGTAAGCAGTTTTAAGTGTGCCGTTCAGTAGTGTGCAGTATACACCCACACTTCTGGGCAACCAATCTCCAGATTTATTTTCATCCTGCAAAGCTGAAACCTATACTCAGACAAATTCTCCATTCCCCTCTCTTCCTATGCCTGGAAGATTATAAATCCTATGTCTCTAGGTACCTCAGTAAGGGGAATTATATAGTGTATTTCCATTTGTGACAGGCTTCTTTCATACCATAATGTCCTCAAGGTTTATCCATGAGGCACCCTTTGTCAGAATTTCCATGATTTTTAAGACTGAATAATATTCTATTGTGTATGTATATACCCATTTTGTTTTTGTATTTATCTGTTCATAGACATTTGGGTTTTTCTCCACTTATAGGCTATTATGAATCATGCTGCTATAAATATAAAGGATCAATATTTCTTCAACATTACATAACTGTCCCACTTAAAATATACTACAAAAATCTTCATGTCACTAAATTAAGAAATAATTTTTAATGGTTGGAGAATGTTTTGTTCATAAAGTTGGATTGATTGAGGTATAATCTTTATCCAGAAAAACTCACTTTTTTAAAGTGTGCAGTTCAATGAGATCTGACTAAGTGCACAGTCTTGTAACTTACACCACGATCTACAGAACACTCCTAAAATCTTTCTTTTATTTCCAGTGCTCCTACAACATCTGGCCCCTGGCAACCATCACTGTGTTCCATCCTGACAGTTTATTTTTTTATGTTTTTTTATTGATTTTATTTTTTTAATACATGACAGTGGAATACATTACAATTCTTATTACACATATGAAGCACAATTTTTCATATCTCTGTACATAAAGTATGTTCACAACAATTCATGTCTTCATATATGTACTTTGGATAGTGATGTCCCTCACATTCCACCATCCTTGATAACCCCCTGTCCCCTTTCTTTCCCTCCCACCTCTCTGCCCTATCTAGAGTTCATCTATTCCTCCCATGCTCCCCCTCCCTACCCCATTATCAGTCACCTTATATCAGAGAAAACATTCCGCATTTGTTTTTTGGGGATTGGATAACTTCACTTAGCATTATTTTCTCCAACTGCATCCATTTACCTGCAAATGCCATGATTTTATTCTCTTTTGTTGCTGAGTAATATTCCATTGTGTATATATGCTACATTTTTAAAATTCATTCATCTACTGAGGGGCATCTAGGTTGGTCCCACAGTTTAGCTATTGTGAATTGTGCTGCTATAAACATTGATGTGACTGTGTCCCTATAGTATTCTGCTTTTAAGGCCTTTGGATATAGACGGAGGAGAGGGAGAGCTGGGTCAAATGGTGGTTCCATTCCCAGTTTTCCAAGGAATCTCTATACTGCTTTCCATATTGGCTGCACCAATTTGCAGTCTGACAGTTTAAACTTTTCCAGAATTTTTTTGTAAATGAAATCATATAATATGTAAGCTTTTAAGTGTGGTGTCTTTCATTCGGCCTAATGCTTTTGAGATTTATCCATGTTGCTGAGAACATCAGTATTTTTATTGCTTCTTATAGCTGAGTAATATCCCATTGTATGGATGTGCCACAATGTGCTTATTTGTTCACTTATTGGACATTTGGAGTATTTGTAGATTTGAGTGATTATGAATAAAGCTTCTAAAACATTCACATATAGGACTTTGTGTGGTCAAAACCTCTCTTATCTGGTGAAGATTTAGGAGTGGTCATGCTTGGTCATATATATATGCATTTTAAGTTTTTTACAAACTGCGAAAGTGGCTATACCATTCTGCATTGCTATTATCAATTTTTAAGAGTTCTAGTTGTTACATCGGTTACACATCCACATTTTTACATAATGCCCTATTAGTAACTGTTGTATTCTGATTCTGCAATCTGTATTTGGGGTAAAATTGGGAGTTCATAACCAACTTGAATCTAATGTATGAAATATGATATGTCAAGAGCTTTATAATGTTTTGAACAACCAATAAAAAAATTAAAAAAAAACACACACAAAAAAAGAGTTCTAGTTGTTCCTGCCATAGGCTTTTCTTTTTAATAAATCCCTTACTACTGAATATGTAAGACATTTCCAGTTTTTTATTGTAGAGACAATGTATGATGCCTTATAAATATGCCTTTGAGCATTTATCTGATTATTGCTTAGGGTAAAATATTAGTAGTTAAGTCCAATAATATTCTTATTTTCAATCCTGATTCATATTTCCCTCCATAAAAGCTTGGTGCCAAATATACTATTATCAAAGGAAAAGAGTGTCAATTTTTCCACATCCTTGAAAATAATAGTTTTTATTAATGTTTTAAATATTTCGAAATAGGATAAGTAAAAATGGCTCATTGTTGCTGTAATTTTTAATTCTATGGTTACTACTGAAGGTACACCCTCATGTAACCTGGACATTTCTATTTTTTTTTCTTATAAATTGCCTGCTTGTGTTTTTTTGTCCCTTTTTCTATTTTTAAAGAGGGAGGTTATGAAGAAGTGTGTGTGTGTGTGTGTTTGCGTGTGTTTGCATTTGGTTATTTGTCTTCATATAGTCTGAAAATATTTATTTATATTAGAAATAATCATTTATCATTGTCTATGCTTTTTCTTAAATTTTTAAATGTGTTTGAGTCTAATTTCTTAATCTTTTTTCACTTTGGTTTCATATTGAAAGGATTTACTACATCAAACTTGTAAAATGTTTTCAGTTATGTCATTTTAAAATGATCATTAAAAATTTTATTTTAAATAAGCATCGCCTGCTTATCCACAATTTCAGTTACTCGTGGTCAACTGTGATCTGAAAATATGAATAGAAAATTCCAGAAATAATTCATAAGTTTTAAATTGCCAATCTGAGTAATTGGATGAAATCTTGAGCCATCCTGCCCAGGAAACTAATCATCCCTTTGTTAAGTATAGCCACATTCTGTTAGTACCTGCTCCATGTCAGTTGAGGAAGACAGAGGGAGAGAGTGCTTGTAACCATAAGAGCAAACACATTTACATGACTTCTATTGCAATATATTATAATCATTCTATTTTATTGTTAGCTATTGTTGTTAACCTCTTACTGTGTCTAATTCATAAATTGAACTTTATCATAGATATGTATGGGGTAATCCAGTATATATAGGGTTCAGTACTGTTTGAGGTTTCAGGCATAACTGGGGGTCTTGGAACATCTTCCCCACAAGTAAGGGAAGAGTATTGTATTTAACTTTTAACCATTATTAGAATCCTGGTTCTGACACTTATAGTTTGTCCAAATCTTTTAATCTCTTGGTGTCTTTCCTCATCTATGAAATGACTATAATAGTAAAACCAATATCAGATAATTTTTGGAAGACTGAATGAGTTAATAATACACATATAGCATTTCAATAGAACTTAGCTTCCAATAAGTGTTATTATTATGGCCGTTAATCCATTTTCCAGATGGCTAACTAGTTTTCCCCCATGCCATTTATTGAATTATCTGTATTTCCTATTTTATTGAAAGCTTTTTCTTGTGATTTCTTGCTAATTGGTCTTGAGGGGTCTCTGCTGAGTGGTTGAAATCCAAGATGGCTATCATTCCCTAGGTGAGCCCTGATGCAGGACAGGTAGGTTCAGGTGTGTCATCTGCCCTTTAGTAAACATCACTTATCACAGGAGACAGCAAAACGAAACAGGAGCAGTTTTTAATTTGCCTACAAATTCCAAAGAGAAGAAGACAGCATGCCTTACAGAGCCAATGGGAATGGAGGAGCCATTTGGAACATGCACGCTTGACCTGTGAATGGAGAGCAGGAATGAGAGAGAAATAGAGGGCTGGGAAGTTCTAATTGGTGGATTTAAAGCAAGCAGACAGGAGCTCTAGGATGATGGTTAGTATGTGGGAAAGAGAATGATTTGCTTTGTTCTCACCCTTTCACGGATCCCTTTTATATCTAACACCTTGCAGGAGAAAAAAATTCTGTGACCCTTGTCCCAAAAGCATGCTTCAAAAGTTAAATAATGTGAGGTAAAATGAGGTGAGGGGAAAGTCATGCAGGAAGTCACACAAACATTACCCAAAAACTTTAATACAATGCTACCACTTAAATACAATGCCCACATTGTTTGGTGTTACTGACAATTACTAAGGAGTCTCCCTAGCTTGCTTTTATAAGTTACATTAATGTTGCTCAATTCATTTTTGTTTTTCAAGGTTTAACTGTAGTCAGTTTGGTCTAAATACTAACACTGACCTGATCTTCTTACTGAGTAGGGGCTTGTCCTGGGCAGAACAAAGGTGAACTTGAGAGGTGGGGTAATAGTGAAGCAGGGTGGGAGAAAAATGTTTAAGGAGAGGAAAACCATGTTGCTGGGACTCTGAACTAAGTCGTGGAAGTCCTTTGGGTTTGCTAATGAGATTGAGAGCCCAGGGTGGAAATGATGACCCCAGACTGAAAAAGTAGAGTGTGGACCACTGTGCAGCCTATGAGTATCCCATCTCCCAGCAAGGACCCTGCAGACTCTGGGTATGGATGGCCAGCCTTTCCTTCTTCTGAGTGGGACTTGTGTTTCTGAAATACCTTCTAAAAGTCCAGCAGGTAGAAAGTAACACACAAAAACAGCAGACCAGGTCTTGGGAATTGGGGTCACCCCTCTTCTCCTCCCCTTCACATCTTCCCTGTGCTGCATAGAGATGATGGATGGAAATAAGGGGGAAGGGCTCTTCAAATGTTCTTTTAATACCAAGGCTCAAAAAAGCATGGATCACCCCACGAACCAAAGAGTATGCTGAGAATCCCCAGGACTGCCTTCCACATCTGCTCAGCTACCTAAGAGCATTTCCCCAAGTTCAGTAATGGGAGTGGGGAGCAGTCACCACCAGGAAGGTTGAGTGGTGTCTCAGGTTGACTAGTCTCTGCCAGCCAAGGACAGACTGGAGAACAGACTCTGTTATGGCAAGTGACAAGTGACAAGGGTATCAGACCCATGTTCTACTCCAAACCCAACTTCCAATGGTAATAACCTGGGCAAAGTCCTTCCTGGTTCCCCAGAGCAATGAGTGTCCTTTAAGGACCTATGATGGTGCTACTCTTCCCCAGTAGATAGTAGACTGGTTCCATGAAAGGGGGGATTATTTTTGGATTCATCAGTGTGTCCCCTTTAGTAAACATCACTTATCAGTCAACTTTTGCTGCATAAAACCCCACACCTTACGAATTCAAACCACAAACATTTATTATTTCTTACAATGCCGTTGATCACCTGTACAATTTATTTTCTGTTTTTATTTTGTTTTGTTTTGTGCTGGGATGGAACCCAGGGCCTTGCTCATGCTTAAACCTGTGCTATACCACTGAGCTACACCTCTAGCCCCTATCTACACAATTCTTATTGTCTTATGACTGAAGCTGGATGTGGTCCAGGTTGGCCTCCCTCATGTGTCTAGAAGTTGACAGGCTGGTTGATCTGGGGGAAAGAGCTCAGCTGGGGTGATTGTTTTCTCTTCCACAGCATCTCTTCTCCTCCAGTCAGCTGCCCCAGGTGTTTTCACTTGATGGTCTCAGCTCAATACAGCAATAAGAATGCAAGTCTCCGTGCATAAGTTATCACCAAATCTCTGCTTGCATCACATTTACTGATGTCCCACTTGCCAAAGCAAGTTAAAAGGTTAAGATCATATACAAGGCATGGAGGTATAGACTCACCTCTTGATAGGGGGCTGCAAGTCCATTTGGTCAAGAGAAACTTATGGCCACTTTTCCAAGTCACTATAAGAATCTTGCATTATGCTTGGCACACAGTAGGTCATCATCAAGAATGTTAATTGCAAGAATTAAGAGGTAAAGTCTATTCAAATACTTCTCATGTCTACCACTCCATCTCTCAGCACATCTAGACCTGTGCATTCTTTTCACTGTTGGGATCTTTGAACTGGGCTAAAACTGAATCTAGTGGTTTGGAAATTAATATGGATGGTGCTTTTCTGAGAGATATTGGTTATCTTGGACCCAACCATTTCTGATGCTGGAGTTCTTCATACCTTGCTGAATTGTGCATTATGTCCCCACTCAGTCTACTGTTTGAACTGATCAGGAAAAGGGAAAACCTTTTGTCTACCACAGTATGGTCAGCCTTAGCTAGTGGCACCTCCTTCTGCAAGTTGCTGCCATCTGGAGCCCCCTCATAGCTTCTTCCTGCCTAGCTCCACTCAAGGTGGGAACCTCATCAAAAAATTCTGGTAGAATACAGAACCTTCCATGGGAGAGTTCTAAACATAGTGGAAAGCTAGAGGAGGAAGGGGGAGGAATAAACAACAAAAACAATAATTTTTTAAAACTACCGTTTAGATCTCATAGCTGCTGAGTTCTTGCTTGCTTTACTGTGACTTTGCCCAGAGAAAAGGCAAAACAGCAACATAAAGATTGTCCATATAAAAAAGATCCATATCATTATGAGGCACATGCTGGTGAGTGAGGAGCAGCGACAATCTCACTGAATAAAAATGGTGGAGTTGGAAAAGGGGAGAGAGTCTTCGGGCTTGATCAGTTCATCAAGGGCCTGGTAAGTCCCCGCCACAAAGCCCACAAAGCCCAGGATGCTGATGAGGGCGTCCTTGGCGATGGTGAGGGGGTTCATGCCCTCTGAGTAGTAGGTGGTGATCTCCAGCAACGGGGGGATGATGAGGGCCAGGGTGCTGCTGCTCACGGAGCCCACCAGGGAGAGGACCAGGTCCAGGCGGGGGACAAGGACGGCCAAGATGCCTATGGGAGATGATAGGGATGGAGATGGAGAAGCTCAGGCTTAGCCAAGCTTTTAGAGTTTATTCTTAAAATTCTCTTCTAAACAAACAAACCAGACGTTTCTCAGAAAGTAAGTTATAGAAGGTAAAATTTGAAAGTCTTCTTAGCACCTCTAATAACACTCGTTAGAGGCTATACATTAAAAAATTTCATATGTCTCCTCCCAGTTTTTCAAATATATGCACTCATGTTGTTGGAAGAAAAAAATGTTTTCTCTACTAACTTAGATTCAGTGGTAGGTGGTCTGCAAATTTAACTGATGACAAAGAGATTAGCAAAAGAAAAAAAAAGGTTATTTATGACCCCAGAAACTTCATATGCATTAGCTTTCAGACCAGCCAAAGACATGGATTTAGGTAACCATTTAATAAGAACTGGAAAGTTTGACAGTTCCTGAGAGGTTTTTTTAAGCAGTTTTATCTATTCCAGTGACAATGGTTAGTCTCTGGTATAAAACTCCTAGAGAGAGACTTATGAAAGTTGTATTTTTCAGGTTGTCCCACTGAAGTCAGCAAAAGAAGTTGAGATAATGCTATTTTCTGCAGCTTCTGTTTGTACAAATGTTTTTAGCTTAAAATAATCCACATGCCACTGAAGTGCACATTTTTAATGTTAGCCCAAACTTATGCATCCTTAGGCAGGTCAAAGCTGTGGTCAGATTGGACCCAATGGCTGCCCAGTTTCAATGTCTGCCTTGGAGGTGAAGGGTGCTGGCTCTGGGCTTAGATGACTTGGGTTCAGATCCCACTTCTGACATTTACTGTATAATTATTGATTACCTGCTGCCCCGGTTTCCTCTTTTGTAAAGTGGGGCTTAGCACAGTCCTATTTTATGAGAGTTCTCATGAGGACTGAATAAAATATCATGAAATATGAACTAGAAGATGCTTACTTAGCACAGTGCCTGGCACACAGTGTTCAATCAATATCTTCTGATTATTTGATAAGCTGCTGTCATTTCCTTTGGCTTGTTAGTGGGGTTGTTCTTGAGACTTAAAGGAGTTAATACAGGTAAAGCTTAAGTACAGCCCCAGAAATACAGTAAGAGATTAATAAGTGCTGGTTTTCATGACTATGCTCTAACATTTGACTGATTCCTGATAAATTTCAAGCAAAGGTTGACAGGAACATTTTGCTCTGTTTTCTACTCACATGTCAGGCAGACCAGGGCAAAGCGCATGGACAGGTCCACAAGCAGTGACCAGCGCTTTGACACCCGGGAGACGGTAAAGGGGATGATGATTTCTGCAGGGACATAGAACTGCAAGGCATAGGTACACAGGATTCCAATGATGTAGAGGAGCTTGACCAACTGGTATAGCCTGCAAGACAAGCCAGAGTCATGCTCTCCACGGCCACTTCACTTGGACACCTGGGCTCCTACAAGTATTAGCCTCTGATCTTGGGACAATCCCTTGAGCTCCTGTTGCCCTATCTGAAAATGATGGAGAGGAACCTTCTAAGAATCCAGAGGAAATTACACCAGATCCTGCAGTAAAACTAGAGTGAAGCATAATGGATTCGGGTGGAAGGGTCGTCTCTAGATGAAATGTAAAGAAACTTGAGTACGTTTATATGAACAGTACCTTTACCAACCACTTGATGCTCAGTTTCAGATTTTAGGAAAGAGAGGCTCAGGCCAGATACCTTTCCCAGGGAGAAAATCGATACGTGGCTAAGACCAAAAAGTTCTGGTCTTTAGACTCTCGCGATTTGTGATCTGTCAGCCCTCAGGAATTCTCTGGATCCCTCAAAGTTCTTGGAACATAACAGGCCCTCAACAAATACTTCTGGTTGGTTAGGGAACTACAGAATGCCAAATACTTGGGGGAAGATACAGTTTACAAGTGGAGTTCTACAAAGTCTAGGGGTGGGTGGGGAGGTCAATTAAAGGAAAAATGAGGTCATCTGCAGACTTTGAGCTAGGGGCAGAGAGAGGCCTCAGGAAAGGTTGAGTTCCATCAAGGTTTTGTTTGACCTGTGGAAATTTGAGTACTTCCCTTTCATCCACTAATGTTGTAGATCCATCGCACATGTTTAAGAAGTGTGTGTGTGTGTGTGTGTGTGTACACGCGTATACCCTCACAAGCATGCAGATGCTCACATTCGTGTGTGTGTGTGTGTGTGCAAGTGTGTGTGTGTTTAGGCCACTCCTTTAAAAGGCTAAATTCCACGTTTCTGTGTTTCTTACACTAGTCCTGCTTCCAAGAACACCCTGTTTACTCCATTTTCAGTGGTTCAAACCCCACTGATATTTTGAAATTCCTTTCTTTTAATCAGGTACCAGGAGCTGGATGCTTTTAGATACACCATCCAATGTGTATTAATCCCCATGGCAATCTGCCTTATCGATGAGAACACTGAGAGGAGTTAAGTTAATCATCCATGAAGACTAGCAAGTAGTCTACTGGGACTTGGCCCCAGGGGCACCAGTGTGGTCTCATTGGACAACTGCTTTCCCCGCTGTCTCATTCTGGTGTGCCTTCTTTCCTCAGAAGTCCCCAGGCCTGTCTGCTGCTCTGGAAATCTTCCTTTCCTGGTGTATGGAATAGTTTGCAAAAGTATACTACCTACCATTGCCATTGGATGGATCATAAGCTACTGAAGCTAGTGAAGCTCCAAGATCATTGTCCACACTTGTTTACAACCCCATGTATCTAGACTGGCATCTGTGTATAATTAGCACACAGTAACAGGTTGATGAATAACATTTATCACCTTGGGAAAAGGAGCCCCAGTTTAAGCAAATTAACTATCTGCTTTAAAAAAAAAAGACACCCTATTATTAATGTCATCATCCTTTTGGGGACAAAATGCTGCAAAATGTGGCTTCATGTGGCTATTTAAACATGGCACTGTTGAAGTCTGCAGCATCTAATTCCATGAATTGGGGCATATTTAGACAGAAAATTTTTACAGATTACAATGGTCCCACCAAGTTGGTTCTTGTTCTGCACTTTTTCTTATCCTAGCCACCCTGACTTGTGATGTGTACCATCGGCTGAGGCAAGCAAGACTTGGCTCCACATCCTAGTGAATAGCATTGGAAGAGTTGCCACCTCCTGACTGTTCTCTGCCTCTCACCTTCCTCCAGTACTCCTCCCTTAGGTGACCCAAGACTCTCACTTCCATTCTTTCTTCTTAAAGCATGTCCTCCTTCACACTGAAATATCAAGGCCTAACAATGTGGGAAGCTCTTGTTGAAGAAGGAACACTGGAGCCCAAGGTTCCAGTAACAACTCCACTTCTCCATGAGGGAGTTTCTCTAGACTTTGGTGTGTTCCAGCTGTAGAAAGGAAGTGGAAGAGATCTACACCCTCCCATCCATCCCTCAATCCCCGCCGCCTATGAAGGTACCAGCAATTGGGCAGGTTAAGGGTTATGCTGGCCTTGATGTCCTCCCCAAAACGCAGGTATCCCAGAGTTCCAATGCTGGTGTACAGGGCAGTGACGATGGACAATCCCAAAGACAGGATGGCTGGGAAGCGGCTGGCATCCTTCATCTTGTTTTCCAGAGGCAAGACCTACAAAAATATCACAGTGTAAAGAGGAAGGAGGAAGGGAAAAAAAAAAACATGAACATAAAGAAGTGAGCGCCATGCCACTTTTGGGTTTATATCCAAAAGAATTTAGAAGCAGCACAATAAAGGATAAATCATCAGCACTATTTTACAGCTCAGGAAACAGAGGCTAAGATAGATGAAATAATCTGCCCAAGAACCCTTGGATAGTAAAAAACAAGAGACTGGATTTAAGTTATATCTTACTAAGAAAGTAACTGTCTAGTTTTGGATTTTAGCATCAGAAGTGATACGCAGTAAGCCTCTACTGCATTGCAGCCCATTTTTAGGGATGGTGACCTACAGGTCAAGTCCTCAGCTTAAATTCTCGGTTGCTGACTCATGAGAACTTAACCAAGCCACTCAGACTCTGTACCTCATTTTCCTTAATGGCAAAATGGGATAAAAAAAAAATATCTGACTTAAGAAACAAAGAATTTGGAAGCAGGGAGTTCAAGAGATATCTGTACTCTTGTTCATGGCAGTATTATTCATTATAGGCAAAGGGCAGAAACAACCTAATTGTCCATCAAGAGAAAAAAATGTATAAATAAAATGTTCTAGATCCATGCGATGAAATATTACTCAGCCTTTAAAATATAGGAAATTCTTTTTTTCTTCCTTTTTTTGGTACTGGGAATTGAACCTAGGGGCACTCAAACACTGAGCCACATCTCTGGTCCTATCATATATTTTATTTAGAGACAGACTCTCTCTGAATTTCTTGGGGCCTCGCGAAGTTGCTGAGGCTGGCTTTGAACTGGTGATCCTCCTGCCTCGGCTTCCAGAGCCACTGATATTACAGGGGTGTGCCACCACGCCTGGCCAAAATGTAGGAAATTCTGACACATGCCACAACATGGATGAACTTTGAAGACATTAGGCAAAGTGAAATAAACCACAAAATGAGATACCATGTAGTTCCATGTTATGAGGTACCTGTAGTAGTCAGTAACAGAGAGAGAAAATAGATTGGGGGTTTTCCAAGGGCTGGAAGGAGGAGGGAATGGGAGTTATTATTTTGTGAGTTCCAAGTTTCAGTTTTACAAGATGACAGATTTCTGGAGATGGATGGTGGTCATGGTTACCTAACAATGTGATTGTAGTTACTACCACTGAACTGTACACCTAAAAGTGGTTAAGATGGTAAGTTTTGTGTTAGGAATATTTAACCACAATTAAAGGGAAAGGTGAAATATAGAGGAGGGGGAGGGGAGGAGAAAGAGGGAGTAGAGGAAAAGGAATAGCAAGAGTGGGGAAAGAGGGGGAAGAGTGGGAAAAATAAAAAAGAGAGAGGCCTAAGTCAAGTCACAAGATGATGGGGACCACTATGAGCTGGAAAGACCCCTCAGGTTATCCAGATAAAGGATCTCAGCAACCTTCGACAGCTAGATCTCGCCGGCAGGTGCATCTTATTTAGACAGCTTAGTCCTTTATTTAGTTTTGATAACATGTATTTATTGTATGTATTAATGGAGTTCAGTGTGATATTTCCACACATACTTACAAAGTGCACTGGTCAAACCCAAACCTCCCTTTTCCCACCTCTCCCCTTCCAATCTCTAGTAATCACTCTTATATTTTCAGGTTGACTTTTTTTTTTTTTAACGTACATGTATGAGAACATAGAGTATTTGTCTTTCTCTGCCTGGCTTATTTCATTTAACATAATTACCTCCAGTACCACCCATTTTGCTGCAAATGACAGGATTTCATTCTTCTTTATGGTTGAATAATTCTTCATTGTGTGTGTGTGTGTGTGTGTGTTTTCTTTATCCATTCATTGGTTGAAGGGCACCTAGGTTGATTTCACTATCTTAGCTATTGTGAATAGTGCCACAGTAAAACACAGGGTGTAAAGGTGTCTCCTTGGTATGCTGATTTCATTTTCTTTGGGTATGTACCCAAAAGTGGAATAGCTGGATCATATGGTAGATCTATTTTTTTTAATTTTTTGAAGAAACTTCATACTGTTTTCCATAATGGCTATACTAATTTACATTCTCAGCAAGAGTGTGTAAGAGTTTGCTGTTATCCCCATCCCCCAGCATTTGTTATTATTATTTCTTATAATAACTATTCTGAGATGATACTTCTTAGTTGGTTTTGGTTTGCATCTCCCTGATGGTTAAGGATGTTTTTTCACACATTTATTTGCCACACATCTATTTCACACATTTTTCTGTACTATTTCTTTTGAGAAGTATCTGTTTAACTTATTTATCTGTTCTCATTTTTTGCATTGGTTTACTTGTTCTTTTTTTAAAAAAAAAAGTTTTTGTAGTTATAGATGGACAGAATACCTTTATTTTACTTTTTTAATTTTTATATGGTGCTAAGGATAAAGCTCAGTGCCTCACACATGACAGGCAAGTGCTCTGCCACTGAGCTATATTCCCAGCCCTTTCTTGTTCTTTTGATTTTAAGTATTTTGAGCTCTTTATATATTCTGGATATTAATCCTCCATGTGATGAATAGCTAGCAAATATTTTCTCCCATTCTATAGGTTCTCTCTTTGCTCTGTTTCCTTTGTGGTGCAGAATCTTTGTAATCCTATTTTTCAATATTTGTTTTTGTTTCCTGTGCTTTGGAAGTCCTATTTGGAAAATCATTGTTGTGTTGTCTTCTAGAAGTTTTGAAGTTTCAGGTCTTACGCATTTGACCCACTTTGAGTTGATTCTTGTATAGGGTGATAGATAGGGGTCATGTTTCAATTTTCTCCATGAAGATATTCAGTTTTTTTCCAGCACTATTTATCGAAGAGATGGTCCCTTTTCCAGTGAATGTTCTTAGTGCCTTCGTTGATAATTATTTGGTTGCAGATATAAAGGTTTGTTTCTGGGATGTCTATTCTGTTCTACTGGATGATGTGTCTATTTTTATGCCAATAAAGTTTTATTTCTAGTTCTATGAAAAATAAATCCACTGGTATTTGGATAGAGATTGGATTGACTCTATATATAACTTTGGGTATTATGGATATTTTACTGATATTAATTATGCTAGTCAAAGAACATAAAAGGTTTTTCACCTTTTTTGTGGTCTTCTCCAATTTCTTTCATTCATATTTTATAATTTTCATTGTAGAGGGCTTTCATTTCCTTAGTTAAGTTTATTCCTATATATTTTTTATTTTTGTAGCTATTCAGAATGGGGTAGCTTTCATGATTTGTTCCTAAGAAAATTCATTATTGGTGTTTAGAAAAGCTACTGATGTTTGTGCCTTGATTTTGTATCCTGCTATCTTATGGAATGTGTGTATCAGTTTTAATGGGTTTTTGGTGGAAATATTAAGCTTATCTATTTATAGAATAATGTAAACAGGGATAATCTGACTTCCTCTCTTCTTATTTGTACTTTTTATTCATTTTTCTCACTTAATTTCTCTATCTAAAACTCTTAGTCCCATATTAAATAAGAGCAGTTAGAGTGGACAGCCTTGTCTTCTTCCTGATCTTAGAGAAAATGCTTTAGCTTTCCACCTTCAGTGTCATGCTGGCTGTGGGGTTGTCATATATATCCTTTATATTCTTCTATAATTTGTTCATGGCTTTTTATTGTGAAGGGTGGTCAAATTTTATCTGATTCTTTTTCTGCATCTATTTAGATGATCATATGATTTTTATTCTGCTTTTTGTTGATGTATATTGAACCATCCTTGCATCCCTAGGATAAAACCAACATTATCATAGTGGATGATCTTTTTGATGTGCTGCTGAATTCTGCTAGTATCATATTGAGAGTTTTGCATCTGTATTCATCAGGGATATTGGTCTAGAAGTTTTTTGTTTGTTTGTTTTGTGTGTGTGTGTGTGTGTGTGTGTTTTCTTGTCTGACTTTGGTAACCTGGCCTACGCTGGACTTCCAGAATAAATTTGAAAAGGTTCCCTCCTTTCAATTCTACAGAATTGTTTGAGAAGTATTGGTGTTAGTTTTTTCTTTAAAAGTTTGGTAAAATTTAGCAGCCAAGTTGCCCAGTCCCGGGCTTTTCTTTGTTCGAAAATTTTATTACTGTTTCAATCTCATTGCATTTTATTAGTTTATTCATGTTTGTATGTCCCTTTGGTTCAATTTGGATAGGTTATATATGTCTAGAAATCTGTCTTTTCCTTCTAAATTTTCAATATATTAGCATATAGTTTTTCATGATAATCCCTAATGATTCCTTGTACCTTTGAAGTATTGATTGTAATGCATCCTTTTTCATCTCTTATTTATATTTTCTCCCTTTTTCTTGGTTTGTCTAGATGAAGGTTTGTCAATTCTGTTTATCTTTTCAAAAAACCAACTATTTGTTTCATTGATTATTTTTGTGTTTTTTTAGTCTCTATTTCTGTCCTGATCTGTTATTTAGATTAAGTTGGGGTTTGGTTTGTTCTTCCATTCCCAAGTCCCTAATAAGCATTAGGTTGCTTATTTGAAACCTTTCATTTTTAAATGTTGACACTCAATACTATGAACTCCCCTCTTAGGACTGCTGCATCCCACAAGTTTCAGTATATTGTGTGACCATTTTCATTTGGTTTGTAGAAATTTAAGTCTTCCTTCTGACTTCCCCAATGGCCCACTGTTCACTCAAAGTATGTTGTTCAGTCTCCATGCATCTGTATAATTTCTAAAATGCCTTTTGTTGTTAACTTCTAGTTTTATTCTATATTATTTAAAAAAATAAAAGACATGACTTCATTTTTTAAAAAATTTGTGATGATTGCCTTATGACCTCATGTAAAGGTCATTCTAGAGGAAGTTCCACGTGCTGATGAAAAGATGATACGCATGTGTATTCTGTAGCTGTTGGATGGAGCGTTCTGGAAATGTCCATAAAGTCCATTTGATCTATAGCATAGTTTAATTCTTTTGTTTCTTTGTTAATTTTTTTTATCTGGATGATCTGTCCACTGGTGAAAGTGGGGCATTGAAATCCCCCATTATTATTCTACTGAAGCCTCTCTCTCTTTTTAAG